GAATTCCGACTTCAGACGGATGTCAATATTTCTAGTCCGGCCTTGACTCAGTCAGATCTGACCATCAAAAATTACCATGGGCGCCACTGATCGTCGCCGAACGCTGTTCTGGTGTTGCTGCGCTCCTTTTTGCTTTCGATCCGGCGGACACCGCTGGTAATGTTCACCCTGCCTCAATGCTGTTGGTGTTGGAAAATGTTTGACTCATGGTACTACGAACTACAGAACCTTCGAACGTACTGACTGAGCCTGGACAGCGGATTTTCGTATTGCGCTCGACTTGAGCTTGCCATCTCCTTCTCACTCTCAGCATTCATCGCTTGGTGAGGGGATTTCCTTCGACGGAGCATGTCTTTGTTTCGAAAGTCCTGGACAAGGCTTCCGGAACGAGCATCGAGTCTTCCCCTCTATTCTAATCGGGATTTCATCCCGTGTCTACCTTGAAGCATGGACAGCATTTGTAGGATGCCTGAAGTTGACCTACGAGACTGAGAGCCGGCGGAATCGGGCCGGCGAAACTGCTCTGTTTAGGCGAACCGTCGGTGTGGTTCATCTCGAATCTACTCTGGGTTCGGAAGTATTCGGACAGCCTTCCCGGCTTTGGCAATATCTCCTTCACTCTAGGAAGTCTCGCTGCTCTTGGCGAGAGCACCTCTCGGAATTGCTGACAGATGCAACGGACTCACACGGTCTGCTCGTAATGACGGTCGTTCTATTGCTCTTAGGGCACCATCTAGGGGAGCGATGTCTAGTGTGTCAATGATGATCTAGTAATAATTCGGGAAAGGAAGAATCAAGAATGCTAAAAAGTTCAAAACGTCGTGAGCTCCAAACTCTGGACATCGTTTCTCGCGGGCCGGGGCTCTGTCAATGTCTTTAAAGCGAGCGTTGTTTATCGTCCGACGATCGTCATTCACCGCTGACCGTGAGCGAGAGGTCTGCTTCTGACGGAGTCATCCGTGAGGCGATTGGAGATTATCGAAGGAATTCGAAAGGCGAAAGTAACCTTCTGGTGGTGGAGCGCTCTGTTTCAGATGCTCTCGTATCTTTGGAGCACTCTCCTGAATTTGCCCCTGATGGAGCCGGGAGGAATTTGTCCCCGAGAACCGAAACCGCGAAATTCATCTCGATCGCATATACGGTCTACTCACCGGGACGACAACTTAGTCTGAAATTGCCTTCGGGGAAAGCGGGGATTCGAGTTCCCTGGGCTTCTCGTAGGACTGAGACGAGAGTCACCGGATCTCCGTCTATCTCTTGGAAGGCATCTCATTCGCTGTCGTTTACCTTTGTTTTCGGCATGGGGCAGTTCGAGCTTCGATAGGTTGGGACTGAATGTAAGGCATTCCGATGCATTGAGGAATCGCTCGTGTTTCGAACGAAAAAAGTCTAATTCATGAAAAGAGGGGGAAACGAACGGTATGGCTCCGCGTTTCGCACCCACCATTGTGCAGAATTCGTCTTCAGATTCGTCTCGAGCGTTTTCCAAAGTGGATTTCCTAGCTGCCACGCTCCTTCTGATTCCGAGTATAAATGATAATGTATTTCCGTGCAGGAGGAGAATCCGGAGCATTCGAAGATTTGTCACGACTTCTTTCCGTCAAGGAAAAAGGTAGGGAAGCTGAAACGGCCCGACGATAGTAATTGAGGCAGAAAATAAACCCTGTTTACGTTTTTCTTTTATCGCAAGTATGAATGAGCTTTCGTCGAGTTTCGATTTATTGTTACATTAGAGCTGCGGAACCGTAAAACGAGAGCCGAGCGAAAGCAGCGTCCGGAAAGTCCAGCACGAGCCAAATGCTGCAGTAATTAGACTCCGGCGTCTACAGATCAGAATAATCGACTTTTCGGAATTCAGACCGGCACGAATCTTATCAACACATTGTTCCGGCGACATTTTCTGTGGCCCTGTACTGAGCGCGAGATTTTTTGACACCACGCCACCCAGGCGCTCCGGTAACTGCAGGTTTCCAGATTTAGTCGTGACACAGGCTCGCTCTCCTGTTCGACGAGATCGCAACTGAATCGGACGATAGAATGTCGTCCTAGCGATATCACCTCCGATTCCCGTTTACGGATAGATTATCATCAGATTCCGACGCCCCATATCGAAGTCCAAGGGGGCCGAGAACCCCTCCTGAACGGGCAGTGATCAAATATTTCCCGCTCCTGCGTCGAATAAGCCCAATTTCTCTGTCCGATGAAATAATCAGCGTTTATTCGGTCGCGGTTGTCAACAACTCGTTAAGCTGCTGCTGCGTAAATTACTGCCAGACAGGTCGGATAAAGCGAAATTTTCTTTCATCACCTCCGAATTTCAATTCACGCGTACGATCCGGAACATTCATCTGAAACACACTTGAATCAAACGTCAAACATACCTAATAGATTCAAAACTTTTTGGCAGTGATAAAAGTCTTGTTCGAATCTAATTATTATCAAGATATCCAGGCTTGAGAGAATTCGGCGGTGAGCGATTATCCCATTTAACGCCCAATGTCCAAGCCATGCGAGTCGGGAGACACAATCATTCTCCTCCGGTTCTGAAACATCAGCGGCTGTCGCACATCCATGCTGACGACGTCGAATAATTATCTTCGGAGGATTCACGTGCGCTAGTCATTTGATCGCGTGAACATTTCCCATCTGATCGCTTCCCATAATCCCACCATTGATGAGGCTCTGTCATGGGGCACAATCGCGAACATCCGATGATCGGTGCTGACCACTGCTGACAAGCTTTTTTTTTTAATGTTGATAATTTATTAAGCCTCGATGAAGATTGCAATGACAGTACGTGCCTGCTGTGGAATTAATCCGTGTTACAGTCGCACGGAAAATATATGTACGTCGTCAATCGATTGGGTCTAC